GCCATCACCACTCTGCATCGCGGATGCTTCCCACACGTGTAAGCTGACGGCTGTGAGAAGAAAGTGCCACAGTTGCTACCCCTAAACGCCCTCTGCCATGGCTATGAGAACTGTCCCAGCAGAGTATTTCACTGCCTGTGGAGGGCTGAGCCACCATGGGCAAGGAAACCTCTGGCATGTGCTGAGGCGTGTGACTCTTGGATTGTACCCTGGTTCTCCATTCACCATGGACAACCTTGCAAGAGTGAAGCCCCCACTTGACCTCCCAGCTCCTCATCTGTGAGATGACAGCCAACCTTAAAAGCTATCAACCTCGAGGGACTGACAAAGCGGGCCGTGAACTAAGTCTCTAACACAACACCCAGTACCACAGGGCCTCAATTAAAGTCGTTTTATCATTAGCATCTTTTTTTTTCGAGACAGGGTTTCTCTGTATTGTTTTGGAGGCTATCCTGGAACTAGCTCTTGTAAACCAGGCTGGCCTCGAACTCACAGAGATCCTCCTGCCTCTGCCTCCCAAGTGCTGGGATTAAAGGCGTGTGCCAACAACTCCTGGTTTATCATTAGCATCTTATGTATAAGGCTCTGTGTGAAATGTAAGGACCAGAAGTGACTGCATTCTACAGTGGATCTTGACCCTAGACCCTGAGGGCAGTTTTAAGTTTGCATGCCCAGTCTATAACTCTAGGCTTCCAAGCTGACAGTCAAAACCAATGCAGGCGGGCAGATGTTCGTTGAGAATTACTGACATGCAGATTGAACACCTTTAAGAAGGTTCCTAAACAAGGAGTGGCCCAACCAGGCAAGCTGAGCTTCTGCATTTAGGACTCATTGTTGCCGTTTGTGTTTTCATCAGAAGAAAACCTCTGCTCTGCCTGAATCTGGTATCATGAATCATCCAGAGGTGTGGTTCGAGTTGACTAGATCTGGACCCGAGGCTCTGAGCCGCCTTGGAAGCAGTTATACTCTTGTGGTTTGACTAACCTTTTTTATGAGTGTGTTACTAAAGAAACGTGAGGTATTGGCTTTTCAATTAATGTAGCCTACCCCTTCGGAGTTTCATACACATTGAGTCATCGGATCTGCAGGTGACTGATAATCATCTGCAGCCATCAGGTTACGGTAACTGGGAGATGAGGGGATCTGATCAGGGTGAGCCCGCGTGCATGAAGATCTGAGGCGCTCTGCTCTCCACCTTGAACAATGGTCTGCGCTAACCACACAACCCAGGCACCTGTTTCCATTCTTCCAGGGACCTTTTTTCCCCTCCTGCCTTGCCTCTTTCCGCTTGCGGCATCCCAGCTGGTGCTGAGAGGTGCTGTGGGTGACACGGATTGTGAATTCACAAGCTTGGTAAGGAGAGCCCAAAGCACACTCCTGGGAGAAAGAGGTGGCGACGGGCCTGCCCAGCCATGGAAGCTTCCCAGAGCCCCTCCCGTCACATGAAAAGAGAGTGGACACGTCCTGTTATTTAGGAAGTTTGGCAGGGCCAGCCACACTGAGAAACCAGATTTCACCAATCACGAATCGTTTCCAGGGGAACGAGTGTGTGTGAACTCAGTGTTGTCTGTTCTTTGTGTCATTGCTGCGGCCAGCCATCATCAAGGGAGCTGGAAATGGTTACTTTGGCAAGCACATCCATTTCTGTTGCTTCCTAGTGAACTGCCAAGTTAGGGCATTTTTCTTCTCCTTGACTTCTTTTTTCTCTCAGGTATAAGTTTAGAAAGTAACATGTCCAGAAGATAATGGGGAGGCCAGGCAAACGTGTCTGGTGGACTGGATCTCCTAGCTGGCCTCTGCCTCAAGCCTTGTTCTGGTACATCTTACACGTTGCTGTTCCGTTCACCACAGCCTCCTTTCCTTAAAGGCATCTGGCACTTGCTGTGTGGTATTCAGAGTGTCTGTCATTTGGCCCTACTGTGTGTTTTCAAGGGTTGTCTGTTTGATCATGATACTCAGATTGAGCTATATCCCCAGACCTGTTTTGAGAAAAGATTCACCAGTCACCCAGGCTGATCTTGAACTCCCTCTGTAGCCAAGACAGGTCTTCAACCTGATCCTCTTCCCTCAGCCTCGGGGATAGCTGGGATCATAGGCCTAGCTCTTTCTTTTTGCCCCCCCCCAGATCTTTCTTTCCTGAGATATGGGATACAACCTGCCTGGAAGCACACAGAACATTTATAGGCTTTGATACCTGTGCAAAGAATACTAGGGCCAGTAAGATGGCTCAGCAGATGAGGGGATTGGTGTCAAGCTTGGCAGCCCGAGTTCTTAATTGAGGTCCTACATGGTAGACGGAGAGAAGTGACACCTACAAGTTGTCCTTTGACCTCAACGAGCTTGCTGTGGCACGTGTATGTACCCCCTTATACACAAAACAAACAATGTTAGGAAGGAAGGAGGAGGAAGGATGGATGGAAGGAAGGAGGAAGAGGAAGGGAGGGAGGGGAAGGGAGTGATGGGGGAGGGAGGGAGTGATAGGGGAGGGAGGGAGTGATGGGGGAGGGAGGGAGGGAGTGATGGGGGAGGGAAGGAGGGAGGGAGGGAAGAGATGCTGGCATTTGCCAGGTATTATGCTGGTGCTGTCCTCAGTGATTCACCGGTGGCCCTGTGAGGAGGGACTGTTCATTTCACACAAGGGCACCCTGCTAGTAGCCAATGGAACCAGAATTAAACCAGTCTGAACCAGTCCATGTGACTATAGCATGTCTCTGCACGGAAGCTACCCCAGTGTGTGGACATTGCAGTGTGAGGCTATGTGACGTTTGGGAAACCCTTTATACAGCTGTCTTCCTGCCCATGTCCTTCCAGCCTTCGTCTTCTCTTCTCCCTCAGACATAACAATCCAGATCCTGCCAGTTCACCAAGACCCTCCTCCAGAGTTAGATTTTTCCAAGAATTCAATTCTTCCCCAGAGTACTTCTGAAATTTTTGTGTCCCCTTAATGTTGAAATATACAGTTGATACCAAAAGGCCTCGTTTTGCCTATATGAGATCTTATAAAACCCCCCTTTTAAATTTTTGTTTTTATATCCCAACTGCAGTTTTCCCTCCTTCCTCTCCTCCTAGTCCATCTCTTCCACCCCTCCCAATGCCCTCCCACCCATCCTCCTGTTTCTCCTCAAAAGGGCAGGCCTCCCATGGATGTCAATTGCAGTGAGACTAGGCCTCCCCTCCTATTAAGGCTAGATGAGGCAGAAGGAAAGGGTTCCAAAAGCAAGTAACAGTGCCTCCCTGACCCCCCTTTTTTAAAAACAGAATATGAGATCCTCCCCTCATTGAAACCTCAAATGGGGCATTTAGAATAAAATCACATGCCTCCGTAGATGAACAGTAAGTACTTCCAGAAAATCCACACCATAGTTTAGCTCCAGATTTTTTGCCTAAACATCTTGTTCCCATCCTGCCAGGGCAGAGACTGTTCAAGAACGGACACTGAGTTCCAGATCCCTGTTTTCTTAGGGTGCCCTTTCCTTTCTTTCCTTTCTGGACCCTTCTCTGTGAGATGCTGACAAACTTGGAACCCTGAACGCCTAGGGAATGTTCCCAAAGAGAAGGACAGGGCACAACAAACCTCTCCAGGATCCAAAGTCAACACAGTGACCTAGGAGCCACATGCAAGCCCTGTCCCATCTCCCACACTCTCTCCTCTCTCCCCTAGCCACAGCGCCACAGTGCGTGGGGGCCACCACCCACCACCGCTCCCTGCCTGCTCTAGGCCCAGAGAGCCCCTTCTCTTTCCTAACACACTGCCCTCGGTGTGCTGCTGCTGCTGCTGCTGTTTCCAGGGGTTTCTCAGCAGTTTGACATGAGAGTGGAGAGGGTGACCACAAGAAAATCTCTTCAGTTAGGTGTGCAATGGGTCCTAAGAATCCAGATGTAACAAGGATACATCTGTCAATCAAAGATCAGTACCAAGTGGCAGGCATGGTGGTTTAACCCCCATCTTCTCATCTTAGCACTTGGGAGGCTGAGGCAGGGGTAACGGGTTAAAGGGCAGACTGGGCTACTTAGAGAAACCCTGCCTTACAGTTGCAAACAAGCTTGCATTCGCCTCCCACTTTAAGAGATGGGTAGAGGTTATTAAAAAGTCTTTCCTAGGACTGGGGTGTCAATCGATTAGTAGAGTGTGTGCCTAGAATGTACCAAGTCCAGGGTTCTATCCTCAGGACCGGGCCTGGTGGTCTGCCTGTACTCTCAGCATTTGAGAAGTGGAGGCATGAAGAGGGTTAAGGTCATCTTCAACTATATATTGAGTTCAAGGCTAGCCTGGGATACGTGAACCCTGCCTAGCTTTTCTTCTTAAAGGGAAATAAAATAAATTAGGAGAGAGCCAAGCTGCAAGCCGCTATGGCTAATCACTGAGACCCCTACTATTTGCAGTACCTAACATTACAGGCTGAATAAGTTTGGGTTTTAGAGTCAGGGTTTCTCTATGTAACAGCCCTGGCTGTCCTGAAACTCTGTAGACCAGACTGGCCTCGAACTCACAGAGATCTGCCTGCCTCTGCCTCCCAAGTGCTGTGACTTAAGGCATGCGCCACCACGAATTAACAGTTTGGAAAGTGGCAACGCTTTAAAAGTGCACACCGTGGGAAGGTGGAGGTCCCCGGTCCCTGCTCAGTGGCAGGTCACCCATCCCAGCTTATCCTGATGTCTTTGCTTCCTGTGGCCCTCCCACTTTCTCCAATGGACACACCTCACTGGAGAGAAGCCACCTCCAGTGGCTTCACCTAATGACATCTCTCTGCCCCTCTCTTTTATCCACTGGCTTAATGTAGACAATTCACACACACGTGGCTGGTGGATAGCACCTCCTGACGCTATCTCCCTGTGGAATGAAGTGTCGCCCCCTCCCCCCACGCCCCGCCATGGCTGTATACCAGTGAGCAGCAGCCACAGCTTACCCTCCCTCATTCCTGGAGGACTCTGGAAAAGAACTGTCCCCGTTGTCTGCTCCCTGCTATTTCTTCGGTAACCCTGCCTCTCACTCATTCCAGGTGAGAAGCGTCACTGCTTTGATGTCAACTACAACCCCAGCTACATGTACGAGAAGGAGAGTGAGATAATGCAGACCCGAATGATGGACCAAGCCATCAACAACGCCATCAGCTATCTTGGGGCTGAAGCCCTTCGCCCCTTAGTCCAGACTCCACCTGCTCCCACCTCTGAGATGGTGCCAGTCATCAGCAGCATGTACCCTATAGCCCTCACACGGGCTGACATGCCCAACGGGGCCCCGCAAGAGCTGGAGAAAAAAAGAATCCTCTTACCCGAGAAGAACTTGCCTTCTGAACGAGGTCTGTCCCCCAATAATAGTGCCCACGACTCTACAGACACTGACAGCAATCATGAGGATCGCCAGAGTCATGTCTACCAGCAAAGCCACATGGCCCTACCCCAGGCCCGCAATGGGATGCCGCTTCTGAAGGAGGTCCCTCGCACCTTTGAACTCCTGAAGCCCCCTCCCATCTGCCTGAGAGACTCCATCAAAGTGATCAACAAAGAAGGGGAAGTGATGGATGTATTTCGGTGTGACCACTGCCATGTCCTCTTCCTGGATTATGTGATGTTTACCATTCACATGGGGTGCCACGGCTTCCGTGACCCTTTCGAGTGTAACATGTGTGGATATCGAAGCCATGATCGCTACGAATTCTCCTCTCACATCGCCAGAGGAGAACACAGAGCCATGTTGAAGTGAGCATCAGTCTCCGAGCTCACAATCTGATGATAGCCTTACCCAGTAGACGGAACTCAAACCCACAGTCCTGCCCAGTTATGTTAGCACTCGGTCGTATTCACTCAAGCAGTCAGGGAAACACTGTCTTTGACCAGAAACTGTTTGCAGAGCCATCATGTTACTTTGTGAAGCCTCCCTTTCCCATCAGTTGAATTTGATGGGATTTAAAAGCCAAAGAATGGTCTGGTTCATTATCTTTTGTAGCAATAGACAGCCATCCGCTGCAGCTTGCTGCCAACTGGAACAGTCCTCGGTGGGCTGCAGGAGACATTCGCTGGGACACAGCCGCCATACGTGGAAAAGTCTTTTGACGCCGTGCCCAGATCCACACAGTGGAAGCGCTGAGCAGCTGCCCCTGCCTTAGGCCCTAGCCTGAGGCAGAAGGGTTAGGACCTAATCTCCTCTCCTTTCCCAGTCTGACATAACAGTAAGGAAGACAGCCATAGAGTAGGTGCCTGCTGCCAGTAATGGAAGAGCCTATTATCAGAGCTTCAGTTCACATCCTAGCACACAAAACAAAGCGGAAGCCATCCGAGGACCCACCCACTTCACCTGCCCACCACCAGGGAAAACCGGAGGTGATCTGGCCTTAGCCAGCTGTCTGCAAGAAAATGCTACACCAGAGGAACCGATGCTTTTAAATACTGAGTGTTGCTGACACCCAAGTGTCATCCACTGAGGGGCAGTGGTATTTGTTTCCCCTGATTGAGATTGGCAGAGCATGCTGGGGACACAGCTTGGTGGTACAGTGTTGGCCAAGTTCAACCCCCCAGCACTGGGGGACAAATGGGAAAGAAAGAAAAGGGAGAAAAAGAAAGATTGGCAGAGCAGAGTGTGTAGGGACACATGGGTTGGCAGTTCTTGTCACCTTCGTGGAGTACTGGTTGAAAACCCAAAGAACATTTGAAAGTGATTTTACATGTGCACATACACAGAGGACCCAGAATTCACCGTTTAGCATCCCTCAGGAGTGAGATCAGGGATGGGAACCACAGATGTTCTGACCAGGGTGCTGTCTTAAATTAGAACTGCCGCATTCCACTGAGAGTCTTGGAAGTCTGTCTTGTTCTGTAGATGGACCAGTCAGCATTGTCACTACACACACAGACACCAAGACATCAAGAAGACCTGGAGTAGAAGCCACAAAACGAGTGTGCCAAGCTTATATCTGCTACTAATTAGTGTGTGGTGTGCTTTTGTACAAATCATTTAACTCTAAAAGCTAAATTTCCTTTACCGTAAAGTAAGAGTTGGATTTAGACCTTCTTGATGGTCCCTCCTGGCTTTGATACACAGTATTCAGTAACCACAGGTTATTTTTAAACCTCCTGACGTGTGGGCATCACACAGAAAGGACCACAACGAAAATGTGTTTCATATCTCTTTGGTGTGAAAATGTTAGTGCGTTAAGTTTTTCCTTCAGCCACTGAGTCATGAACGTGAGGAGTCCCTGAGGAGGGACAAAGAACAGGCAGGTGATTTGGTCTTGCCAAAGCGTGCACACAAATTAGTATCTACAGCTGCTTGCTGGGGACCTTTTCTTTCTTTCCTTTTTAAGAACTTGTGTTAGGGAAAATAAGTTCTGCTTACAGGGAAAGCTCCATGGAGCCTATTTACAAATTAAGAGCTAGCTTTTTGAACATCTCTGCCACAGCCAAGAATCCCGTGTTCCTGGTAGATTAGCATTTTCCTTCTAAAGGGCTTATGGATCCGGCTCTCACTCAACTCGTTTATGCAATGCCAGTAATTAAAGCATTCCACCTCAGACACACAAATGGCTTAGCCTGCTTTGTAGCATGGTGTCTGTCTCAGGGAAAGTGGGGGCAGGGGCATGAAATTCCATGGCAACAGTTCTGTATGCCTGAGGCTTCTGCTAAAGGGCTGGGTGTCTTCACTGTATCTCAGCAGAGCTGGATCTGAGCTGTGCCGAGTTGTTTGTGCCCATAGTGGAAAGAGGACCTGCCTATTCTACGCTTGAGATTGTTCACATCCTGTTGACTTGGTGGGGGTGGGGGCACAATGGGAGGGAGGGAGGGAGTTGGAAAGTAGGGACTAGAAGGAAAAGATGTAGAGATGAGCATTTCCACCAGAGTGCTGTTGAAGTCCGCCACACACACACAGACACACACACAGAGTCATCTCAAGATGGTGAACCTCCACAGAGCAGACCCAGTCCTGTGGGCGTGGACTTGCTGGATAACTTCCATCTCCTGAGGCTACTTTCTGAGTGACTTTCACACTTCACAGAGTCTGGCTGAGCCTCAGCAGGGGTCCTTGACTCCAGGGTCCTACTAGAGTTCAAATACCTTGAGTGCAGACTTTGAGCCTGATGGGGTGCTGTGGTTAGTGCAGTGGTTAGCACCATCAGTGCATGCGTTCCTTCTGCTACCTAAGGGCCCCCCCTTGATGGAGGTGGGGGCTGAAGTGAGAAGGGGTAGGGATTTGCATCCTCCAAGGACTGTAAAGTCCTGGGGTAGCTTCAGCTGTCTCACACAGCCCCTCCCCCCTCCCCCGCCATGAGCCCTGTGGGTCTTTCCTTCCTTTCCCACCAGCCCTCTTAGAAACAAACTCCAACCACACACCCAAGGGGGCTGCAAACTGGGGACCAACCAAACCCACAAGATGTTCCCCTGCAGCTAAGGTGACAGAGGCGCATGAGGGTGCGAAGAGTAGAGCCGGCTCTCCAAACACTCTTTGCCAGTATCTGAAGCGCACAGAACTCAAGATAAGTGTCCTTCCCTTCACCCCAGCATTACCACAAGAGGGAAAATCCACCCATCTTCACATGCCTTAAATCATCCCCAAAGAGCCAGTGCCCGGCAGACCAGCCAGCCTTGTCTGCTCACCCTCAGCCCCTCCTGACTTTGCCTCTGGGTTCATCCACAACAAAATTTCTCCCCTTTTATGAGCTTACCACTTTGCTTGTCACCCCCCCCCTTGAAGAAAATATCCCCAAGTGTCTTTCGCAAAGAGGAATATTTTTAAAACACAAAATCTGACTTAATTGAAATATTATGTAACTAACGAAGGTCACTTTGGCATAGAAGTTTTCCAAGTTGATCCGCATCACTATTCTCCTTGGCTTCTTTGTCCCCCTTACTAAATGTGAAGGTTAGTGTGCCAAGAGGGGACAAATGCTACCCCAGGCTAGGATATATAGCTCAGTGCGAGAATGCGTCATGCCTAGTGCTAGCATGAGAGACGCCCCGGTTTCCAAGTCCGCTGGAAGAGGAAGGAAGGAAGGAAGGAAGGAAGGAAGGAAGGAAGGAAGGAAGGGAGAGAGAGAGAGACAGAGAGACAGGGGGAAGGGAGGAAGGAAGGGAGAGAGAGACAGAGAGGGGGGGAAGGGAGGGAGAGAGGGAGGGAGAGAGAGAGACAGAGAGAGGGGGGGGAAGGGAGGAAGGAAGGAAGGGAGGGAGAGAGGGAGGAAGGGAGGGAGGGAAGGAAGGAAGGAAGGAAGGGAGGGAGGGAGAGACAGAGAGAGAGAGAGAGAGGGAGAAAGAGAGAGAGAGAAGGAAGGGAGGAAGGAAGGAAGGAAGGAAGGAAGGAAGGAAGGAAGGAAGGAAGGAAGGAAGGAAGGAAAAAATCATACTTTTGAAATACATCCCAGGGCAGGCAGGAAGGCCATAAAGTCGGTTCATGGTCCTCACTGTAAGGTGCACCTCACCCCACTGAAAGATATGCTGGTCTCTAGTAAGGCTTGGAAAACTGTGACAGCTCTGACTTGTAAAAGAACTTGGGCATCTTCAAGAATGTAGGAGTCTTGAATTAAGACTTCTGCACTCAAGAAGGAAAAAGAGTGGTGAGTTGTGGTTTTTTGCTTTTGTTTTTGTTTTTTACCTAAAAATAAGCACCAAGAGCCTCAGCAGAAAAACAATATATACTGTTATGTCTCAAAGGATAAAGACGCTCTTTTATATAGAGGGCTGTCCAGGAAACCTCAATAGACAGTGTACTGGGCAACATGACTGGGGAATCTACATTCTTTATCTGAAACCAAAGGCTGAACCCAGGCGGCCCTAGGACTGTTTCCTAAGAAGGCGGGACTGATCAGCCATGGGAATTATCAGTGAGTTCAGGGATGGGGACCACTGGCCCTAAGGACAATGGACTTGGAAGGGCCTAGGATATGGGTGTGGCCTTTGGCCTAGGGTGAGCTCAGAATGTAAGACTGCATCTGTCTTACCCAAGCTGTAACCTCCATAACCAAGCCATCAATACGCTAAACAGGTTTTTTGCACTTTTTGAAGAAGTTGGATGTGCTGTTCCTTCTAAACATTCCAACTGTGGACTGTTTTACCCATTGATGCCATGGGAGCTGTTATCTGAAATTGGAACATTAATGTTTTGATTAAAAGTGTAAAGTCATAATGATATCTACCTTCCAGGGTGTTGAGGTTTGCTGTAGTCTTGTCTATAAAGTAAAGTTGTTTTTGAGGGAGGGGTGTTATGCCATCTAGCTATAAATTTTCTGCTGTAAATCCTGTGTCTGGTTAGGACATGAAAAAAAATAGTTCAAGATCACACTAGAGCCAGTGCCACTGTGGAGGAAGACCACTAATGTCTAACTGTTTCTTTATCATTGTGTTGCACAAGGCTAGAGAATATGCTGGACTTGGAGCCCATGTGAATGAGCCACATAGGACACTGCATGGTCTTTCACCAGGACAGTAGCTTAGCTTTGTTCCCTCCCTGTCTGTCAGGCCACAGCCATTAGCCTTCCTAGTCTTAGAGTTTTCCCATGGGGTCCTTGTCCTCCATCCCTCCAGTGAGCCATCCCTGAAAGCCCAGAGAGCAGCCCCATGGGCGCACCACCTTATATCAAACACAACTTTGTTTCTCTGCCTTTCCCAAAAGACACACACATTTTAACCTGTGAGGGAAACGGAGCAGCCTTTGAAAATGACTGATGTGGCTGCCAGTGACTCATCTGTATGAGGACTTTTCCAGGCTAGCAGGCAAGGCTCTTCCTGGTGGGCCTGCCTCTGTGGATTCACGGAAACCAAATTACTGTGGGTTGCAAAGAATTAGCAGGTCATTTTAGAAGCAGACATGCCTTCACCCAGACTGTGGTTTTGTATGCTCAGGTTCTCAGTCTGTGAGCACTGGGGAAGGATCGTTTTTGGCTACTGGAAAAAACCATAGCTTATTTTTAATTTCTGGTTGTCAAAGCCACCACACGTGTGGTCTGTGGATGACCCTTGTCTGCAGAGTGATGAGGGAGGAACAAAAGGTGGTTTGGGGCTCAGGGAACTCTCACCTAGAAGCTACCACAAGGCCTATGCCATTGACCTTTTCCCCTTGCCTGTTTCCCAGAAGCATCCCCTGCCAGTGGTGCTCCCCTCCCCCCTCTGGAGTTCTACCTGAATCCCACCATTGGAAGCACTGTACAGTAACTCCCCACACCATAAAGTTTGTCCAAAGTTTACTTTGAGTGAAGCCGTGCTAACCTCGCCAAAACATAAGGAACGTGTCTCCTGTATGAAACAGCTTGCTGATATTGTCAAGTTTTCTTTACTGTGTTTGATTTTTACACTGATAAATAAAAAAATAAAGTCCTGGTGTGTTTAAAATTAGACTCATTGCATGCTTATCATTTGTCATGGTTGCTGTCAGAAAACGGAGGGATTTCATCCTGCCTTGGGGAACATTTCCATAATTTTGTCTTGGTTCTTTCTTTAAAATCAAAGTATCAAAATCAGTGGAATTATCACAGAAGTCAGCAGGAGTCAGTAAACTCTCTCCCCAGACACACTGCTGAGCCTGCCTGCTGCGTGCTTCTGGTCCCTGAGGCCACAGCAGAGTTCTGGGTGCACATTCCTAAAGCTCACCGGGGATTCCAGCAGACAGGGATCTGGACACAGCAGGAGCAGTGACCTCAGAAGAGTCCCCTTACTCCACATCACTTTACCACCCTCCCTTCCAGCAGAGGGAGGGTTAGGAGACAGGCAGGTAAGCAAGCCTTGGCTGTTGTCAGCTGTGGATCTTTAAAACAGTGAGAAACCCGAGTTATAGTTTATTAAACTCAGACAAGTTACATACAGTCTATAGATACTTGGGGACTCAAACCTAAGGTGAAGAGGGGCATAGGCGACTCCCAAATGAATGACACAGCCTTGTCTTGTTTACCCGGTATTTACACCAAGACAACTGGAGGAGTATGAGAAGTCTGGCCTTCTGCCAGCTTCATATAAATTCATTCAAAGGCATGGATCATGTATGTCCAGGGATAACCATGAATGCAGCCCAACACATAAGTCATAAACTTAAACATTGAGATTTTGTTTAATTCGCTTGTGCAGTTCTTGGATGTGAACTTTGTAGATGATAATGTCGAAAGATTGGATACACATGTCTCCCTTGCCCTGTCTTGAGGTGTCTGCAGTTTGGATTTAACAAGCTCAGTCCTTGAGTGGACTGGTGGTGGGGTGCCCCCTCCCCCAACAACTCTATTCCTCCCTTTTGCTTTGAAGACTTCCAGCAAATCCTCCCAGGGCAGGAGATAGGAATGGTGGACCAGCCTGCCCTTGTAGTTTAGCATAAATCACTCAAAAGCAGCCTTTCCTCAGTTAGCCAGCAGGCATGTATGTGGCTTTCCCAAGCCCACTTTCCCAAGCTGGGAGAAAGGGAAGACAGGGAGGCCTTGAATACTCTCCCGGGGAGGGGAGGAGGGGGAAGGGGCATATCCCTCCAGCCTAAGGACACTTCACATCCCTAGCTCTAGTGACCAGTGTGGCTTTAGAGGGGCGGTGGCTCAGTGAGAGA